AAAACTTTGAAGACAATAATGAAATGTATATCTCATTGATGATTTATATGGGTTTCCTGTTGAAATGGCATTATTTTAGATATTCTAAGTTGAGCTAAATTAAAATTTCACTTGTATATTTTTAATTAATTTTTGTGGTAGTGGGGACTAAGTTGCTGGGACTACAGGTCTGTACCATTGTACCTGTCTTCCTTTTTACTTTTTATTTATTTTTGCAGTTATTGCATATTGAATCTGAGGCCTTTCACATGCTAAGCAAATACTCTATCACTGAGCTATATCCCAACCACTTTTATTTTAAATTTAAATTACTTTAAATTTTGAGGCTAGGTATAAGTTTTGTAGGCTGGCCTTGATCTTTCCATCTTCTTGTGTCAGCTTCCCTTGTAGCTATTATCATAAGTGTATGCCATACATCTGGCTTCCTTTCAGGTTTTAAAATGTAGCTATTAAAATATTTTAAATTACGTATATAGCTCAATTACATTTCGGTTGGAAAGTGCTTATTAATCTATATAATAACTAAAAAAGCAAGACATAATGATTGAGATAATATTCTCCAAAGCTAGGCACTTTAGAGTTGAGACTATTTTTGAAAGCGGGACTTAAACCAGTGTTTTAGTAATACATAGCTCCAACTCCATTCTTTGCTTAGGACAATTAATTAGCCATAATGTAGGGTATATCAACTGTTCTCAAATGTAATTTTATTTTTTTTAAATTAAAAAATATTTTACTTATTTGGTACAGGGTCTCACCACACAGCTCACTCATAGTGATCCTCCTGTCTCAGCCTCCCTAGAACTGGGATTGCCTGGTTCTGGTGCACTGAGCATTCTGGGGCTGGCATGACATGCGGTTCTGGGGACTGAACTCGGGTCCTTGCACTTGCGGTGGGCAGGCACTTAGACCACGAAGCTATCTCCCCAGCCTTTAAATGTAATTTTATGTTTATATTTTTCTCTAATTGAAATATAGCAGTCCTAAGTAAGCATAAAGAATTTAAGGAGATTCAAATACTCTGCAGTTTTTAGTAAGTAAAAGTTATCTGTGTGCGCATGTGTGTGTGCTTGTCTTTGTGTGGTGCTGAGGGTTAGACCCAGAGCCTTTGCACTTACCTTCATTCTCAGTCTTTCTAATGTTTTCTTGTTTTTGGTTTTTTTTAAATTTTGAGACTTGGTAAGGGTCTTGGTAAGTTGTGTAGGGTGGGCTTGAGCTTCTATCATCATGCGTCAGCCTACTGAGGTTATAGGTGTATACCATCATGCCTGGCTATAAATTTGAGCTAATGCTCAAAGTCTTTTTTCTTTTCTAGATATTAATACATGAGTATAAAAAGATAAGAGCTAAGAACATACATTAATTTTGCTAGTGACCAGTTCCATACTAGTTCTACTTTGTAATTTAGTAAAATATGATATGTGCTCTTCACCCTTTTTATATGAAAGAAATAATTTACTAACTCTTCCTAGTAATTAAAGAAGGAAATTTCTGTTCATGTTTTGAATCCAGGCTTTCTATGCATTGGCTGTGTATTCCTAGACAAATAATTTGGTCTATGTGAGGTCAAATAATTTCAAACTTTCTGAAACTCAGTTATGTCATTTTTAAAAAGGAACACAGCTGTGTAGTTCGATTGATGTGAGGATTAGCTACTGTTATTTAGGCTTATGAGTATCACTCTTACCTGTCTGGTAGTGCAGCTGATATCCAGTAGGTCCCTGGAGAAAAACTGTAGCTAAGTAGTTTACTGTCTTGCATTTCTTTTTATTTTAACTTTTGCTTTTTTACAAAAGAACTGAAGATCTCCTAATGTCTGTGACAATTCACACTGCAGAATACAGCTCTGAGTGTGTTTGATAATGCACAGATTACGCACACAGGTAGAGAGCTCTTGGTGCTACGAGAACCCATCTGTAGCTGCTGTTCATGCTAAGGAGGGCAATAAGCAGCCGACAGAGAAGTGCACATTTGGAGCAGTTCCCCTTTTACTGCCTGTCTCAGGGCACAGGAACGTTCTTTCTTGCTTTTCCACTGTTGACCAACAAGGTTGTCTCGGGAAAGGTCCGAGGAGGAAGTACGTAATTGGGTAGGAAGAGGATTGGAGAGAAACAAAAAATAAAGGACGTACTTAAACACTTGAGGTCAGAGACCCAGATGCCTTTTAGTACGCAGTTAGATGGTAGTGTTATGCATCTTGAACTGTGTCCAAACAATGGAGACAACTGGGCTATTCATTTTAATCACGAGTAAAGACTGAAACCGAGTAAGGTACTTAACTTCAATAAAACAAGCATTAACCCTGAACATTGATGATGAAAATTCCCTCAAAGAGGCGGGGAATACGCAAGATTACGAACACAACGCTGGAGCCAGATTGCCCAGGTTACAATTCTGGTTTTGACACTTTCGGCTGTGTGACTTTTTGCTGGTCACTTAATCTGTCTGAGCATCATTCTCCCCATCTATCAGATGAAGGTGATGATAGTACCACATACCCAATAAATTATCATGAAGATTAGATTACGTTCATATACTTATTTGCTTTTAGTAGTATCTGGCACTGAGAAAGTGTGAAAATGTGTTAGTTTATTATTACTATTACAAGATCTATATGAATTCTTCAATCCGTATGTAAGGCTGAGGATACAGAAGCTAGTGGCTGAACTCTGCTTCTGTTTGCTGCCTTTCTAGCCTATCCAATTCAAAGTTGTCTCATAATCTCATCTAAGTCTCACAGTCCTCTGAGGTGGGGATTATTTGTCCTGTTGAAAATTCTTACAATGTTGCTAGAAAAAGAGATCCACTCTTGTAGGCTAGAAACTACAGAGGTCTGTAAAGATGAGTAGTTTGGGACCTTAATGACCACTCCTGCAGGAAGAAAGGCAGTTGAAATGGATGAGTCTCAAGTGATCAGAGCCCATGCTAACTAGGATTAAAAGTAATAGCTGCAACATAGATGCATTTAAGTCATAATGAAAAACATTAAATTTGCTTGAATTACCTCAGGCTTAGAAAGTTGCCTGTCATTGTCTGCATCTATCTGTTTAAATGTTTCAACACTCCGTGGTCCTTTGGTGACAGCATAAAGTTCAATCTCAAAAATCAATGTCGAATCAGGTGGAATCTTGCCTTCTGCTAAAGGTATAAATTTTAAAGTTTAATTTACATGAAGATATAGTCCAAATATTTATTCATGAGTAAAACATAGTATTATGATTATATTATTTCACATTAAAAGAACTTTCTAAATTTAGAAAAATATTTTGTCTTAAAAATCTTTTGTCTTTATTTTTCCTTTTATTATAAAAACTTTTTAGGAATATTTTTTCCATATATTTTTTAATCGATCAGTTCATAAGGATATGCCGGATCATTATTTCATGATTAAATTAAAAGAAATTAAAAGAAATCATATAATTTTTATTAATATACCCCATCATCATACAGGACAAGTGGTACAGAGAAGAAATTTTTGAGAAGAAAAAATTCAAAGTATAGATGAGTAATCTAGAAAATGATTTTTCTGTAATTATTGGGAAGCATAAATATAACATGAGTATCAATATATTTTGTTTTCAAATTTGTTAGACATTAAAAAAAACAAATGCTCTAAAAAGAAAAAACTCACCTAAAGACAAATGCAGTGCAAAAAAACCCAGAAACAATTTTATTAAGACATTTAAAATCACAATAAAAATTTAAGTATTAAATTGAATAGTTCTCGTTTATAAACCTGTTGATATCACAGATGATTTTAGTCTGTTTCACAAATAAGCATTTCATAAAAATGCCTTTAAAACTAACTTGCCAACGGGCAGTGGATAACTTGTAGCACCACTACATTCCCAGGGAATCACACAGGGCTTTATTTATTATGGCCACTCAAATGGATGAACGAATCAATGATCCACATTGTTTATTTTAAAAGTAGTTAAGTTTGACCTTTGAAAGAAGCATTCATTTCTTTTATGAAGCAGAGAATTCAAAGAGAAAGGGGCTTGCAAATTACAGTCAGGGAAGTAGATTAGAAATTTCCTAAGCCAGGACATAGAAAAACTTCCCAAGTATCATATGACTAATGTGAAAGCCCTGATCTAACACCCACATATTACTAGACTTTAGAGTAAAAAGCTAGAGACTGATACAATATCTTTTAACAAAACCTGTTCTTATTTTGTACAATCATAATCACCTTATGATGGAAAAACAACTTCCCCCTTTGACTGCCTCTTTTCTTCCTTCCCTTCTTTCTTCCTCCTTTTTTTGGTACTTGGGATTGAGCCCAGGGCCTCTGTACACAGGTATAGCCCCAAAATTTTTGTTTTTTGTTTTTTTAATTTTGTGACTAGTTTCACTAAATCCCTCAGCTGTTCAGGCTGGGCTTGAACATCTGTTCTTGCCTCTGCCTCCCAGACTTCTGGAATTATAGACATGTATCATTATCATGCCAGGCTCAAATTTGTCTGTCTGTCTGTCTGTCTGTCTGTCTGTCTGTCTGTCTGTCTGTCTGTCTGTCTGTCTTTCTTTTTTTTGTATTTTAGGGAAAGGTCTACAGGGTGTTCAGGGTCTCACTACTAGATTGGACTCATAATGATCCACCTGTTTACAGCCTCCCAGGAGCTGGGATTACAGGAGCGCACGACCACGCCCAGTCTTAATTGCTGTCTCAGTGTGCCCCAGGGGCGGGGCCAGCATTGCAGGCCCAGGGATTGAACCCCAGCCCCTGCGCCTGCTTGCAGGTACTTTAATCTGCTGAGCTCTTTGGCTGCCTTCAAATATATATTTCTGAAGAAAAAAATATTATAGGCAGTTTCTGAACAATTCTACTGCAAAACACAAAAATATAACCATTTATTTTCCTTACAAAAATTTATGAAATTTGAAAAGGACATATATTTACATACACATTTGTTATAAAGTTGCTTATATTACAGAAGCAGATCAGAGAAGGAGTTAATGTAAAGAATCTATACATACCACATATATGGTTAATTAAAGCACTAAAAAGTCACATGCATTTCAAGACATGCAGGGTGTTCTGTGACATGAGGCAAGGACATGTTGCACTGGCAAGACTTCTTCAAGTATTACCTAAAATAAAGTTACAGGTACAGCTAATGTTAGGTCTTAACATCTTACTTATTAAAAGCTGATGTAATCAAGAAGTGACTTGTTAAAACAGTTACATATGGTCTGTGCCGCAACTTTTCAAACAATGTAATCCAAGCTATTGTAATGCAGGTAAGGTCAGGAGTTACTACATTTCAAAGAACTTTTTGGGAGCTTCAGTTTCCAAGTGTAAAATGAAGGAGTTGGAGTTATTACTAGAGAGACTCATGGTTGGGATTAAAAATATATCCCTAAAGACTCATATGTTCAAGGTTTGGTTCTTGATGCAGTAATGTTCAGAGGTGGGAATTTTGGGAAGTGATTGGTGGATGAGGGCTATGATCTCATCAATAAATAAATCCATGGATGAGTGTATTGCTGAATGACCTATTGGGAAGTGTTGGAAACTAAAGTGTGAAGCCTAGTTGGAGGCAGGTTACTAGGAACATGCCTTGGAAACTTTCATCTTGTCCCTGTCCCTGTCCCTTTCCTTTTTTTTTTTTTGCTTTAAACAATTTATTTAACTGAAATGGACTTAACATTTGTTTTTGAAGTGAATTCCATTTATTTTGATACATCTTTCCCCCATATTTATAGGATCTTCAAGCCAATATAAATATTTTATAAATATTTGAATATTTGGGTATACACCTGAACAATATCTCAGCAATATCTTTCAGCAAGAAAAACACTCAAGAGTAAAGACTAGATACAATTACTAGCTGCTGCAAGTATTTTTGAGGTAAGAAGGCACCACATAGCTGTTCCACTAAGAAAACCATCCTTACAACACAGGATGATTTTATTTTTACATAGGACCTAGAACACTTAAGTTGCCAATTAGATACTGAATGGCAGAGCAACATCCCCAGTTTATGCCATGAATTCATAGGGAATAGTTTTCAACAACTCAGGTTCCTTCCCACTGGTCCTTACAAATTGTGCTTCTTTGGGAGGGGCAGGCTGGCATTTCAGGTGAACCCAGGTACCTTTCTCTTTGGCTTCTTTTTCTGATCGTGTTCCTTGACACGTTTCAGGAAGCTATCATGACTTTTTGAGTGTTTAATATGCTCAATACACACATTAATCCTCTTGGCAAGTATCTTGCCCTTAACTTGCTTGTTTACAACAGTGCCAACAGCATGCTGGGTAACCTTGTAGACTCTTCCCATTTTTGCCATGGTAACATTTGTAAGGCATTCATTTTTGCACAGTACCCATTCCCTTGATGTCTACAATGTCACCCTTTTTGTAGATTCGCATGTATGTGTCCAAAGGAACAACCCCATGTTTTCTCAAAGGCCTGAAAAACATATACTGAATTCCTCTCCTCTTGCCCTTTGTGTTAGTCATTTTGACAAATTACTGGAAGATGGCAGTTCCGGCCGAAAGGCCCTGTCCCCTTCCTTGATCTTGTTCTCACTGTTTCCTGGCTGTCATGAGGAACCTTGGGAGCCAATATACACCTCTCCTCTTTCAAGTTGTCCTCAGGTATTTTGCTGCAGCTACAAAAAAAATGACCCTGTTTATTTACATCAGTACTGAGATTGAACCGAGGGCCTGCTATATGTTAGGCAAGGTTGTAGCACTGAGCCATATCCCCAGCCCTTCCAGTCACCATCTGTCTTTTATTAGAAACAACTCAAATTGAATATGAACTCCAAGTCAAACTTCTGCACCCCTGCAACAGGTTCTGGTTCATTAATGACTTAGGCATCGTGGGTATCACTCAGATCTGAGGACAGATTAATTCATAAAAACTAGTCATTTCTTGTGGTGTCTTGGATTCTACCCTGGGTACCCCACTGATGAAGGATGTGGAAGATGCTCTAGGCAGCTAGAAAAGTTGATGCTGCAGTGGTAAGCAGGATGTGAGGGTGTCTGATGAAAGGAAAATGCTGGAAACAATATAACAGATACTAAAACACAAACTTTGCTTATATCATTTTGCTTCCAAGGGTCTTAATGACAACGTTTTCAGGATATATTACATTTAACTTATCTTCAAAGTTCTTCTCCTCTAGGTTCCTCTATTCAAATAAAAACAGGATATCTAAAGACATTACAGGATCCATTTTCGATTTGTTTACATCTTAGTTACTTTGCTCTTGGCTGAGACACACGACCAAAAGTTAAAGAAGGGAGGTTTAGCAGCTCACAGTTTTGTGGCATCCATAATTGGCTGGCTCCAGGGCAGGGTGGCATGGCAGAGAAGAAATAGTTTATGGCAGGCACGAGGCAGCAAAGCAACGAGGGAGGACCACAGCTCTTTCTACTCTTTGAATTTTATCCAGACTACTTAGGGCAGGTAGCACTCACACCCTTAATCTTAGTGTCCTTGGGATTACACAAATCAGTCTCAGTGTCACACATTTTAGACCCAGCCACTTCTGAAAAAGCCCCACCTATGACTGCATGAGGCTTTGCGGGGACATCTAGACACACTCTGTAACAACTTACTGTGTTAAGGATAGGATAGAATCCAGGACTTTGTGCATGATAGACAAGCAATCTATCACTAAGTTGTACTGTAGTCCTGGAGCTATTTTGATGAGACTATTATTAAATGATTCACAGAAAGTATAAAAAATGAAGCTATTATCATCTGGAGTCATGTTCTTAGAAGTTTTAGGTCTGACTGGGCTGGCATCACTGATCTGTCTCCATTGAATTTGAGGCAGTGACTCCCCCACGCTTGCTGGAAAGAGCAGGTGAGGGAATTACTACTCTTAATGACTAAACCAGCAGCCTCCAGCAAGTTGTGCTATTTCCACAAAGTATTTGGGAGTAATACAATTCATCTTTATGTTTACTGGAGACATTTCAAATTGAATATGAACTTCTTCAAATCAAACTATATCCCGGCAGCCAAACTTTTCATCATAAAATAATCATTAATTGTATACTAAATAGTTCAAATAGGTGGTGGTAGCAGGGGTCTAGACATAGTGAGGCGGCAAAGACCCTGTGGAGCTTTTACAGTGCAACAGAGAGCAATGACCTAACTGAGGATGTAAGTAGAGCTTGCCTGTTGGGCTGCCCATTTTCTCTCCTTAAAATTTCTTTCTCTAGTATGCAACACTTAATTTTAGTAGCTTAAAAAATACATGCAGATACATGCACATTTTAAATATTAATACATGCACATGATTAAATATTCAAATAGTACAAAATATTACAGTGAGAAGAAATCTTTTCACCCTTGGCCCTTACGCCTCCTTCTCAACACAGTATCCTCAGATAACTGCATGTCCTTCCTGATACAGCACACATGCACATGTGAAATTCCTGCATGCAACAGATACATGGGTGTGTGCAATTCACCCCTGCTGTGCTAGTTCTCCCAGGATAGCAAGCAGTATTTACTTTATGCTCAGTGCCTAGAAATGAGTTTGGCACAGATGCTCATTGAATATTTGTTCTAGGAATATAGTCTATCCCACTTTATTTTTAATATTAATATGGATGGTCTATATTTTTTAATGGCTAAGGAGTAACATAATTACAAGTAATATAACTAATTTTCTACTGATGTATACTCAGGTTCTAGTATTCTGCTTAAAAACAAATAATCCTGAATGAATGTTCCTTTACATATACCTTTGTGCACACTCCTAGAAATGGAATTAGTGAAAGAGATACATAGTCTTTCTTTTGATAGATGTTGTTAGAAAGGTGATTTACATTTTCAGCAACAAAGGAAGAAATGGCTATCTCTCTCATGTTCTAGCCAACTTCTAGTTAATCTGATGAGTGAAAAATAGTGTCTCATTTTCTTTTTTTATGTATTTGGTACAGGATCTCACTATGCAGCTTGGACTCGTAGTGATCCTCCTGTTTTCAGCCTCCCCAGTGCTGGGATTACAGGCATGCGTCACCATGCTGGGTCTTGGTGGCTGGCTCAGAGTGCTGAAGGGGGGTGGGGCAGCGGGGCTTGCGCTGGGTGTGGTGCCCTGATCTAACCTCGGTCCCTGCAGGTACTTAGTCCACTGAGTATCTCGCCAGCCCTATGTCTCATTTTCATTTCCTTTAATTATGAATAAAATTATTCCCATAGATTAAGGGTTATCTGTATTTTTAAAAATAAATATGGCCCATTTCTAGGGCTAGGTCATTTTTATTACTGGTTAACATGTTCCTGCCAGTGGCATATGCATGACTGTACAAGTCACTTGATGAGAATGTGCTATTCCTGTACCACTGGTGGTTCAGAGCCACCTGGCAGTGAGATATGAATTACAGCCCCATTGTGAATGTGTTAATAAGTCTTCATTCATATGTATGTAAACATTTTTCCCATTTGTTTGCATGACCTAGTGTTGTGGATCTTCTTTCTCTAGAATTTTTTTTTTTTTAAAAGCAAGATATTGAAAGAAAAAGTTCATTCCTTTCATGTTTTAAGGATTATACTGTATTGAGGTAAAGAGTGACTGCTTGTATCTCAGATGTTCCTTTTTACAATGTTCTACTACTATCCCTTCACCCTAAAATCATGTTCCAGCTTCCTGAATTTTATTAATTTTGATTTTTCTTACCAAGGACCTGTGCTATAAGGATTTATGTACTAATAATATAATGTATACTAAAAATAGAAACGTCAGGTTAGTACTTATAAAATGTACACAATTGGGCCAACCAGATAGCTCAGTGGACTAAAGTGCCTGCTTAGACAGAGCACAGCAGTGGGAGTTCGATCCCCAGCGTGGGGTACCAGCCTCGTCCCCGGGGTGCTCTGAGATGGCGTGTGCCTGTAATTGCAACGCTGGGGAGGCTGAAAACAGGAGAATCACTATGAGTCTGATCTACATAGTGAGACCTTGTAGACCCTGTATTAAATGCAAATAATAAAATAAAAAAATAAATAAAATGTACACAATCATTGAGTGCTCCTGCTAGGTAAAAAACTGGTTGGCGGTCCAGACTCCAACGATGTCTCATTTTCTTCCATAATAAGCAGAAAGGTCTAGACTGAACTAGATATAGTGAGGTTTGCTGGACCCTATGGTTCTCTGATTATTTCCTATATGATTTTTAATTTTTATTTCCATTGTCTTTTTAATTTTTGTAAAATACAAGGTTCACCGATCTAGCCATTTCACTCTTCAGTAGCACGCAGCGCAGACACACTGCAGCGTAACCCATCTAAAGGTCACCTAGCCAGACTGAAAGTACTCACCGAGCAACACCTCTCTCGCCCTCTCCCTCTGGCAATCACCTTCTACCTGCTTCATAGCATAAGTCAGAATTTGCCTCTTTCGTGATGAAGTCTCCTGCCTTTTTGGTTATTATGAATAACACTACTGTAAACACAGATGTTCAAACATCAGAGACTCTGCTTTCCATATACTTGCGTATATACTCAGGAGACTATATTTTTAAAATATATAACTAAAAAGAAATTTTAAACACCTTACCATAGCCTTCCTTTCCATATGCAAACGAAGGAGGTATAATCACTTTTCTTTTTTCTCCAGGGCACATGTGCATCATAGCAATGTCCAGGCCCTTTATGACTTGTCCAACACCAAGAACAAACCATTTGGGGTGGCCTTCATTTTGTGTCCGGCTATAATTTCAAGAAAACAAATTTTAAAATACATTGGGGCATTTAGTTATAATTTAAAACTGGAATCTCTTTTCCCATATTACCCATCTTTCTGAACCCCTTGGTGGGGTGGTTGGCTCAAAGGAGAATTGACAGAAAAGATGATTTGCCTGCCCAAAGCCAGTCATTAGCAGCCACCTCAATTTTTTTTTATTGTCATTGTTTCAGACACCATTCAACAAGTTAACATTTTAAACTGGTTTCCAGCCTTTAACTGGCTGCATGACTTGTATAAATAACTCATTTAACATTTCTAGGTTTGTTCTTTGAAAAATGATGGGAAATTTTAGCTTTATAAAAAGTCAATTTAGCGGCAACCTAAAATCACATTTTTATTAAATTTCTCGATTTTCGAAATTACTTTCCCCAACCCTCTCCTTACAGGGCAATACAGACAGGAATGGTAATTCTACTTGGAAGTAGTGAACTATCCACTAAGTCCGTGTACAAAGCTGGTGGTATGAGCATGCTCAGGAAGGCCCGGGGCCTGCTGCAGACACCAGGAAACTCATTTTGTGTGGTTGTAGCCATAAGGGGGACCCCCAGGACAGAATAAAAGCTAATTACCCTATGCAATCATCTCTGTAGAGGCACTCCAGCTCTCAGCAAAGGGAAAGCCTCACTATACTTCCAGCACTTCCTTCAGCTCCAGGGGTCCCAAGGATAGTGGTGGTTGTCCAGGGTGTTTGTAATTTTTTTTGTAAACCACTGCACCAACATTTAAAAAAACACAGTTTCCTAGGGAACTATCTGCAAACTATTTTTTTTTTTTCTATGACAAAATGATAGTTGTTAAAACTAAAACAACCAAGTAGGTTTGGTGGGAGGAGGTGAGTGGAAAAGGCATAGTGCACGGGCCGGGCGCGGGGGCGGTTGGCAGCATCTCTTACCTACAGTAGAATTTTGAGCCGTCTTTAGCCAAGTAGCCATCGTAGTGGGCATTGAGTAGATCCCCCTTCTTGCTGGTCTTGGAACAGTTTTCTGGACGATACAAAACTTCTATTTTTACTTCTTCTGTGCTGTCTTCTTTCTTTTGTCCCTGGGCAATGCAACAGCCGCACAGGCCAAAGAAAAGGACTAATCTGCATAAGGAACGCATGGCTCCAACCACAGACCCCACTCCTGGGCCCTAGGGCGAGTCACTGAGTCCAGGGCCCAGTTCCGACTCGTGGCAGGCATAGTCTACGTCACAAAGGTGGGGCGTGGCCACACGAGGCCCCGCCCTCCGGACACAGCTTGGAGCCGGGCCGCGGACCGCCTGAAGCCTGGGGATACCTCTAGTTCTGGGCGCTGGAGTTCGCTGTCCCCTGCAGCTGTGGCGGCGCCTCCCCGCCACGCGGCTTTCTTCGCCTGGTCTGCATGTTGTAGCCAGCTTCCTCCAAGCTCCTAAAATAAAACTGGCGAAAGACCAGAAAGCCAGCCTGCAGTGGGATGTCAGAATGTAGCCGTCACTTCTAGGCACAAAAAGCTTCTTCTGAAGCCCCTAGTGTGTCCCCGGACTGGGTCAGAGGAGGTTCCCAAAGCGGAGATGTGGAATCTCCCATGGGACAGGTTACAGTTTTACTGATTTGGTCACAGAAAACGGGACACATCAGTGAAAGGTGTGGAGGGATATATTAGCTAGAATTTTTTTAAAGTACAAACTCAAAGAAATAGGCTCGGGGCCTCCAGAAGAAGACAGGCGCCAGGTGGCCTTTTAGGTGTGTTTAATAGGGACTGAGGTGTCCCTAAAATGGGTTATTTAGAATGTGTATTATCTGTGGTCTCTGTTAAAAATGCTCTGATTTACATTCGAAACAAATCTTTAGTCTTTTGAATACTATACCTTCTGAGGGTGGGTTGGTTGCAGGGAGCAAAACAGGTGAAAGGCACGGAAAGAGCCCGTTTGCAGGCTGTGTTTAAGGCCCTTAGGACTTTTTCTTGGAAGAGAAAAAAGCTTGAATAAACTTTCGCGTCCTGAAGCTGCTTTTTTTTTTTATTTTTTTAAACAAAAAGTACAATTTTAATATTACAACCCTTATTGTCTCTTACTTTCAAAGAACTAGTGCATTTGGAGAAGAGCAGGTATTCCGGAATAAAAGCATAGAAACCTCGGGTTCTGAGCCCGCGACCTGATGACCACCTGCAGGAACCAGTGCCCCCATTCCCAGCTTCGGGGCCTGGCGCCTGCGGGGAACCTGCGGCTGGTCCTTGTTTCCGTGTCCCACCCCTTTGATATTATCCTGTATTGTAGTAGTGGTGTAATAATATCAAAGGGACAGAGATGCTCTTGTCATTTTCTTGACAGTTCCTTGGGATCCGAATTTATAATAAACAAGGAAACTTTGAGAATTGGGCATTTTATTGCAGCCTCACAGCTATATTTTGTAGCAAAGATTAGGCCAAATCTATTTGATGTAATCCTGTCTTCCCATTTTAGTATGGAAACCTTTCAAAACATGCAGACAAGTTGAATTTTACATGAGCATTCTGTTGCCACCACCTTGATTCTATCATTAATTTGAGTTATATTTGGTGTATTACAATTCATCAATCTATCTATGGGTTCATCTTTTCTTTTTTTTTTTCATTTTTTAAGATTTTATTTATTTATTTATTTAGTGTGTGTGGCCAGTTCAGCCCACCAGGGGGCGGGGCTGGCTGGCTTGTGGTGCTGGGGGATTGAACCGCGGTCCCTGCTTAGCTTTGCTTGTTCTAAGTAGGTGCTTTAGACCACTGAGCCATCTCACCAGCCCGGTTCATCTTATTTCTAAGTAAACACCCGGAGGGCCCAGAGGGAAAACCTTCAGGAAAGCCTGACCGGGTCCGGATGAAGTGAGATTCCATTTCTATGACTCAAATCACAGCTCTGGGCCCCCTTTAGAGCGCTGCTTGGTCTGCCCACAATGCCATAAAATCTGAAAAATCACTGTAAACTATGCAAGGTGACTATTTCCAAGTAGGATTTTTTAAAAAAATCATAAATGCTAGGGAAAAAGCCCCTAATCTTTTAAATATAATTCTAAAGCGTAGTTCCACGATTTGCATTCTCTGTAAAAATCTGTCTCTCCAAGGCTGTTTTCCGGCACGACGACAATTTCTGGTCCGAGGAAATTTTCCGGCCCCCTTCGGTTGCACACCGCCTTCCTGGCTCAGGTCTCCGTCCCAAGTGAGGGAAGGATACAGAGCACGTAGAGGTAGGGCGCCTTTTTATTTTCTTAAAAACAAAACAAAACCCAAGTACCAACGGGACCTAAGGTTTAGCGGTGGGAAACGCAGAGGCCGAAGTGCTCCCCCGCGGGGTGCGTGCCTGCTGCCTCAATGTGGGGTGCGCTGGTTCGCAGGTCGGCGAACCGAGATTGGGGGTAGGAAGAGGGGAGGGAGAAGGGGCGAGCGGAGGAGAGGGAGGCCGCGAGGAGGAGGGGAGCGGCCGGGCGGAGGGCCTCAGGCGGCGCCCGCTCCTGCAGCCCCGCCGCCGGGGAGGGGTTTCCCGCGACGCGCCGGCCCCTTTCATCCAGGAAGTGAAAGCGACGTCAGGGTCAATGAAAACCCGCGGGGAGCCCGGGGGGCGGGAAGGAAGGTGGGCGCGGGGAAGGCGCAGGGCGCGCCGGCCGCGGCAGGAAGTGCGAGCCAGGGCGGCCGCGGTCGCGATCTCGCCCGCAGCAGCCCCGCCGCCGCCG